ATATACCTCTGTAATGGCCTATATAAATGACTCCTTATGAATTGCACCAAACAAACTTCTCTTAGCAACATATTACATACTACCTTCTCATTTTACAAACTCACTAACATAAAAGTCAATTCTTCAAAGTTTATTTTAGTTACAAACTCTTTAGACTCAGACAATGCAATACTTTTTGATAAAGAAAAATTAATAGCAATTAACAATAGAGTACCTTTTAAATATTTGAAAGCATGGTTCTCAACTAACAAAAAACTAATACTAATACAAAAAGAAATAATAGCCAAAGTTAAAGTTAATTTAAAAAAACTACAATTCACTAACATAACAGAAAAACAAGCAATTTATATTATAAAGAGTGTCATTACTCCTCATTTTTTTTATTGGCTATATTCTTCATTTCTTTATTCTTTACAATTAAGTTCACTTAACAAAGCCTGCACTCAACTAATTAAACACAAAGCAAGACTAGCATGAGGAATTGCAAATTCTTTTCTATTTAATTCTGACATATATGCACTTTTAAATCTAATACAAGCCCAAACATCAGCACTAGTTACAACTATACTTGCTAGCAAAACCCAGACAAATCCCAAATCTCAAAAAAACAAATTGCTTTTATAAAAAATTAAATCAACAAAATAATTTTGATATTTTGTAAATATAATATATATAGCTATAAGAATATAAATTATTTGTTTAAATTAAGATTATTAATAAAGTTTTTGAGATATTAATTTGGGCTTAAGTTTGAGATTTGGGCACAGACAAACTCAAACTATAATAGTTTGGGATTTGGGTAGCAAGTATAGTTACAACTCTTTAGAAAAACCTAAATAATTCCAACTTTGATACTTTTTTTCTAAAACTATGATTACAACAACTGCAGGATGCAGCACTTATGAATATCTCAATTTTAGAACAATGTCTAGTATTTCCATCATTACAAATAAACAACAAACCTGTCAGATGATAATAGCACTATACATATTGGAACTACAAACCACATATGATAGTAATGACTAGCCACACCCAAAAAAATTTATTGGAACATCTATAAACCAACTTTCTAAAAACCATTCTAAATCCTCCTACCTTAAAGAAAAACTAAACAATCACAACATTACAAGTATTAAACAATTCCTAAACTCAACAAACACAGAATTGCTAGCATAGAATAACTTTCATCAAAACATTAAAAAAATACTCAGAGGCCAATATTCCCATTGGTTCTTTATAATACAAGATCTAATAACTACCTTTGCAAACCTATCTCTAACACTTTTGAAATTAAACCCATATATCTTAGCCAATTAGACATCTAACAAGAAAAACTAAATAATTATAGAAAACTTAATTTTTAAGAAAATTCACAATCCTTTTAAAAAACATTTCAAAATCTGATATTATATCTTATATTTAGATAATATACTAACAGCCTGCCAAGAATGCATTTTAAAAAATAAATTTTACACTTCTAAATATTGTTATTTTAATACTATAGAACCAATCTATAATCTACAAGTAGACTGTAGAAAAAGAATTTACATTGATCTTGATGATTTTAAAAAAGCATTAACTTCAAACCTGATAGCAACAAATCAACTCCAAAAGCAGAAAACATATACTGCCTTAGCTAGACCTTTATGCTCATTCAAAAACCCCCAATACCACTTTGAAATACAATGACACAAGATAACTTTAATAAAAAACAGTAATATTATACATAACAAGCAGTTGATACAACATAGAAAACAACTTTTGTATAATTGCAAATTGTTGTTTTCAACATCTTAATAACTCATTCAGCTGCTTTACTAACTGCTAGCCTTCTCATTTAAACATATTACTAATATTGTTAATCTTCATGCTTACTACAATGAACCCAAGTGCCAATATAAAAATAGTTACCAACAACTCTTCACTTGTAAATATAATCACCCTTATATAATTAGTGCAATTACATAATTATCCTAGCTTAGATAAACAACAACATATTTATCTTCTCCTAATACTGAAAGTAATAACATATAACCAAACCCTAATGATTATATTTGACAAAGAACTCAAAATTCCACAAGCTTAACACAATATTTTTCTATTAGATTCCATATTACAAAAGTTTCTATATAACTACTTTGTTCTAAAACTCCTTAGCAACTCTAGTACATATTTACTAAAAACTACTTTGAAACAAACTTATCATATTGCAAACAGAATGGTTTAGTTTAACTAATAGTGAATCTCATACTGGCATACTTCACAAAACAAGATCAACTGGTCACTAACTCTGCAATACATATCTTACAAAGAGAAGCCACTAGCTCTAGTAACTGACCCATCCTCTTCAGCAATAAAAAACTTTAAAATAAAACTACTATCAGAAGAGCTACTTATTTATTTTCTACTTTATAATATCCAAACTATATCTGTTCAAGATGCTATAATGCATCAAAAGATATAGTACATCTCTTAACTTGCTTTTGGAACTATACATATCTGACAACCTTAATAAAAGATGCAGTACAGAAAACTTTAAACGATTTGAAAATATCATGCTATGATATATGCAGCTTTATCCAAGCCTTTGTTTCAAACTAAATTAACAAACATATGCCACTTGAACTAATAACTACTGAAACACTAGGGCTTTTGAAAATAACAAACAAAAATATAAATATGCTCTTTTCATATATCACAACATTATTACTACAATATACAAAGAGCTTTGGCTCACTTTTAGAACAGTACAACACAATTTATTTTTCTTAGCTTTATTACTGCTACAGCCTCCAATATTAGCTAAAACTAAACCAACCCCAATATTAGTACTAAATAAAAAAATACAATATTTTATTACTAATAGACAATTTTCTCTTTATTACCTTATTAAAGACTAGAGATTTATTAACTATTCTAGCAAAGAATAGATCAAGAGTAAAGTAGCTCTTACCTTCATCTCTCCTAGTTTAGTTTCTTTAACATGTATCTTATATATATAATTTAACTAATTAATAAAAAGATAGAGGATAGATCTCTCTTTTTTAAAAAAAAACAAAAGACAAAAAAACAAAATTAGATAATATTAAAAGTTTAATTAATAAATATAATAAAATTATTAAATTTTTCAATGAATCATATCAAAATAACTTATATTTGCAACAAGATTTAAAAGAAATAAAAATTCAATCTGAAGGTCTTTATTTATAGTACAAAACATGTTGGGCTTTATTGTTTTTTACTACTAATTTGATTATACTAGTCTGTTTAGTATTTATTAGATTTTAACTAAATATTCTGAAATTATTTTTTTTTTTGTATTAAGGTGACCTCTTTGGTCTTTTGACTTTTATTAATCACTTATCGGTATTGTGATTCAATGAACCACTACAGGAGAGTGTACAATTGGCTACATGTGTAACTTTTCTATATTACCTATTTAAGGAGTCCACCCAAAGGTTCTTCACCAATTGCCGTACCTAACACCCCTGCTTGGGTGTTCCACTTTAAACCCTCTGAACCTGTAACCCGTGTTAACATCACTGGTCATCTCAGATGTATCAGATCATTATATTCAACCTTAGGACTAATTTATTCTCGAGGTAAACCCCCAGAGCCTTCTGTACCTATTTTTACAGCTAACCTAGGTATTGCTATGGCAGAACCAACACTTGCAGTCAGGGCTAACTATTAAACCGCTATGCCCTTGTAGAGTTCACTTAGACCCTAGTATCTACTTCACAGTATAACTCCAGTACTTTAGTATACACCTGCCTTTTTCCCTACCCTTTTACCAAACTCCTAATTCAGATAGCCCATGTAGGACTACGACCAGTCCATTGGTATATCAGATCGGCCTAATATCCTTTTCTTCTAGTTCATTCTGATGGCCTAGTTGGTGGTACCTCTGGGACTCTAACCCAAAGGTTCTTGCCTGTCCAGCTACTAGAACCGGGTACTAGACCTGGGTATTCGTTTCCCCAGACAAGCCTTTACAGTAAGGCCGTCAAAGATCCAGCTACCTCTTTACTCGGGTCTTTCCAAATAGACTTCTTGTTACCCAATTTTAACAGATTTACATGGCTACAAGGACTTATCTAGTGTTTGCACTGCCCGATTTGTCAGTTTGCATTTCTCCATGTAACTCCAATATTGTACAGATGTCCCATAACCTGCTAGTTATGCTGGTGTGACTGCCATTACAAATATCCTAACCCAATCATTAGTAACAGTTACTGAAATACGAATATTACATAGGTGATTATTCAAATTTTCGCCATTGATGGGATTTGAACACTCAACCTACCACTTGGGGGGTTGACAACCTGACCACTTCACTAGGTCGCCACACTTCATATTCTGAAATTATTGTTAATACAGATATTTATTTTTTATTAAAGAATAAAGAATTTTTTTCTATATACCAACAAGCTAGAAATATTTAAGCTCCAATCAAAGAAATTATTTATGCTCTTAAAGCAAATATAGCCAATTTGGCTGATTGCTTCAATTATTTAATTAAACTTGCAGTAAAAATTCATCAAATTTTATTAATAAATCTGTTTAGAATTGCAGCAATCAATATATTTAATTGTAGATTTAATAAATTTCAACATTCAATTTACCTTTTATCATATTATATTCATCTGCATTATTAAGACTTTGAACTAAAAAATAGAGGATTTAGAGAAGCAGTACTTATTGTTATTAATCTGTATCAAAGTTTAAATTATACAAAACAAAAAAGCAAAAAATTAATTACTCAGCTTTAACAATTCAATGCAAAACTGTCTTTATTTAATTTACCTTACACTAATAGAATAGATATATCACTTTTATGATAAAGGTCTATTAAAAATAAACCTTGATACTTGGCAAAATTGGCATATCAATTATTTTCAATTTCTTCAATACAAGCAAGTTATAAATGAAATTTTTCTATATTAAAATGAATAATCAGTGATAAATAAACAAAATTAAGTATTAGTAAACTTGAAAATATGTTAAAAATTCAATCTTATTATATGACCAATATCAAATCAGAATTAATACATTATGAAAAAAAACTTACTGAATCAGAGTTATATAAAGTTATTAATAATTTAACAATTATAAAAGTAATGGCTATAGAAAATAAAAAAGTAATATTCAATTCTGATGAACTATTTTTTGAAGATACAGAATTTAATCAAAATACTTTAAATATTAATGAGATTGTAGATTTAACTTAGCATTAATTAGAAAATGAAAGAAAAATATTAGATGCAATAATAATAATAGTGTGCAGGCTAAAAGTATGATATATTCTTTAAAAGATTTAGTAAATCAGTTTTTAGCTAAACAAATAAACTATAATTAATATTATTATTAAAAGCTAAAGCTAAAGCTATATTCATATAATTATTTATCTGATTAAAAATCAATAATAGTAATTATTATTATGCTTATTTATAAAAAACTTTAAAGTTTATAATTAAAGTATTATCTTATTTTATTGTATATCTAATATTTAATTTAAGACACTATATACAGCATGCACTATGTAATATGATATGCAATTTTTGCTATATGCAGTTAAAAGTTGCAACTATATAATGCAGTTTACCATAATGCAATTGAAGTTACAACTCTGAGTTATGTCTGCATCTTTAAGTATAATGTTCATACTAATTATTTTAATTATATTCTTAATTTTACTGGTTCTTCTTATTCTACTAATATCAATTATTAACCCAATACTAAGTATATAGCAGATATAGTATATACTGTTGAAAAACCCATTTTAGATAAGTAGTCAGCATAGCCATTAATTAATTACACCAATCACAAGCTTCTAGTACCACTATTCTACTACTTATATTTCTTTCTAACTCAAGGTTGAGTTTTATAAAACAAAGTTAAACTATAGAAACAATTCTTCATTGAGATCAAAGATGCATAGTCTACACTTTGGTGAGTTTCAAAGGGCCTTGCATTTATTTTTTTTAACTTCAATTCCATTCTTCTTAATCTTGATTTCATATAGTCAAATATCATATTATCATCATCATTACTATTATTATTATTGTTATTATTAGCATTATCATTACTATCAGGTTCAATTTCTTTTTGGTGATCTTAGAAGGCTTTCTAAATGCTTTCTTTTTATCTTCTATATTAACAAGTTCTTGATAATAATCAGATTTAGACTTCTCAATTGCAAGTTCTATATTAGCAGACCTTTGATAATTCATCTTAATTGGTTTATTATTTGGTTCAGCTAAGTTTTTAATTCTTCTATTATTCAGATCAACTAGTTTTTAGAACCTTATAAATGTATTTTTTTCAGCTTTGCTTTTCTTTTTATAACAGGATCTAATATTGGTTTGTTTATTCAAATTATTCTTTTTAGCATTTTTTAAATACTATTCAAATGTGTTATAATTATTCTTTTTAATTTTAATTCCAATAGTTAGTGCCTCTTCTTTGGCATTAGCAGGTTTTTTTATTATTTTTGTATCATCTTGGATCAACTTTTGAATCTGTTAACTTATTTATTCCAATATTTACAGGCTTGATTCAAGTTTTTCAACATGGTATATCAGTAATTTTGTGTATCAAGATCCTTACATTTAGCCTTTTTAACTTTAATTCTATTGTTTATATTCTTTTCAACCTCAGTTTTATTATTGTTTTTATTAATTATTATATTAGCATTATCATTATTCATATTAACTTTCTTTTCAATTTCAATTTCTTTTTTATAATAATATTTAGCTTTATCAATATGCCTAATTTCTACTGATTTTTGGTAATAAATAGGTAGTTCAGATGTCTAGGTTTTTAGAGTCTCCAAGTAACTGTCAATTAAGTCTTTTAACTCATCTTCTAAGTTATCTTTGTTTTTTACTTGTTACTAAGTTCTTGTTTAGTCTTTTTAACTTCAATTTCAAGACAATATCTATAGTTATTTCATTTATTTAATACAAACTTAGGTTCAGATGACCAAAACTTTAGGCCTTCAAGATAAACATTAGTCAACTTTTTTAATGTCATTTTAGCACTTAATTTAACTTCTTGCTCTTGTTTTAGGTCTTTTCTTTTATTGTCATATCTGAAGACCTTTAAGATAGAATTTAATTTAAGAACTTTAGTTGATTTTTTTTGGCAAAGCTTAGCTGAACAAATTTTAGAAGTTTATTTTGAACTCTTAGAGATACTAAAGTCTTCTTGATAATGTATATAGTAAGAATGGTTATATAGAACAGGTATTGCAAATACTTTGATATATGAGAGTAGATATATATTTTTTTTATTCTATTTTTATTATTTATAAATACACTTTCTAAAGTTTTCAACAAAATTTCAGTGCCTATAGAAGTTGTTCATCATTAAGATAGTGATTTTTATAAGTTTTATTAATGATTTTTTAGACTTCATCTGCTTGTTTTTTGGTAAGTGTAGCAAAGTAGCCAGTACACTTTTCTTATAAGAGAGTTGCATGCAAGCACTTACTAATAGTATGGCTTATTACTTTGCAATAAGTACATCAAACTTCTTGTCAGAATTTTTATAATAAGTTGTTTTTACTTTTCTTAATTTTTTTGCTTTCTCTTTTAACTTCTTTTTCTTTTTTCTATAGGTTGGTCTGAAATGCTAATACATTAGTTAAGGTCTTGAGCAGCCTTCAATTTGAGTAGTAATAGTAGTAAGTTTTTTGTTTATTTTTTCTAGTTATTGGCACAATTTTTTTATTCTTTTTTTAATTTAGTTTATTCTTTTTTTACAGTTTTTGTATTAGAGTTCTTTTAATTCTAGATCTCACAGTTATTACCAAAATGACATCATCAAATTAGCATTAGCATGTTGGTTACTTTTTAAATAAATATATTGTATAACTTACAAACAGCTTAGTTAATAAGAGGTGGTTAAATTTGAAGAGTAGTGTATTTATAATCATAGATTTTATAATATAATTAAAACAGTGAAATTATTAGAAGCAGATTTATAATGAGCACTAACTGAACTGTATTTGGAGAGCTTAAAACCTTTATTATATACTTTTATTTACATAGGACATGTTATATATTTTATTTATAATATATCACTTATACTACTTATGTTTATTATCTTATATATACTAATTATAATGTTTATACTTAGTATACTAATTATAATGTTCATACTAATTATTTTAATTATATCCTTGATCTTATTGATTCCTCTTATTTTACTAATATTAATTATTAACTTAACATTAAGTATACAGTAAATATAATATATACTGTCAGAAAGCTTATTTTAGATAGATAATCAGCATAGTCATTAATTTATTATACTATTCCATTTAATATCTTATATTCAACTTTCAAAGTCCTACTTTACAAATTTACCACTACTCTTTTTACTAAATTTAATTATGCTAAAATTCTTTCTTCAGACAAATCTATCTCTCCATATATATTACAAAACCACTTTCAAGTAGCAATTAATTTGGCTAAAATTTATCTTTATTTTCAAAATGAATATCAAACAATCAATCTCTCAAAATTTGACAAAACAGTTAATATACTATCAATATATTTTCTTCTTAAACTATTTTATTAGTAAAGATGCTATTAATCAGACTCTTTTCAAAATACAAAATGATAAAAAATATAACATCACTGTATCTCTTAATATTTTTAAACAAGAATTTCTCCAAACCTTTCATATCCCTTTACTTAAAAAATTTAGACCTAATCTTAAGTCATAGTTTAAACCCTTCTTTGCAAACTACAAGAAACAATTTATTAATATTAATAAAACTAAAACTTTCAACTATATCAAATATAAAATTGGCACCAAACTTGCAAAGTTATGCAAAAGCCTACTTCCATCTGATTTCAAAATTACTCAATTGATTCTCTAAGAGAACACACTCTACTTTGCACCAAAGCTGCTCTATTTTATATTTATATCTGCTTATATAGCAAGAATAATCTCTGCACTGTTCTTTTTTCAGATACTGAGTACAATTTTGAAAACTTATTAACAGACTTCATTGCTAAATTATTTAAGAAATTTTCTGCTCTTCCCTTCAATAAAAATACAACTAGGTGGATTAATCCTAAACTTGACTTTATAATTTTTAACAAAAACCAAAAATACCAAGCTACTTTTCTTAATGCTATACCTCTACCTTTGTTTCACAAACTTACTGATAAAGCAGAAACAGAATTCACTAAAAATAACAATACTATGGAAAACTCCAAATATCATAGTTTCTATTTTTACTCTTATTTTTGTACTTTTCTTAGAGCAGCTGCAGAAAATGATAAAATTAACAACCTCAATGAACATCAAGATATTACTAAAATCACAACCAAACCTATTAACACATACTTTCTTACTAGAATAATTACCTATTTTTATATTTTTAAATAATTACTTTCAATTTTAGAAATTCTTAAAATATATAAAACTTCAATTTACCTACAAGCTCAAAAACTACTTCAAGATAAATTTAAATCAAATTTTATTCTCTTAAAAAGTTTAAAGATAACCTCTTCTTTAATCCAAAACTCTCTAAAACCAAAACCAAAACTGATGGAAGTCTATTCTATGCTGAAACCCTTAGCCAAGATATTCTTTCATCTACTTAGTCTTATAATTCTTTTTAATTGAATCTTCTGTAAAATCTATAAATGCAACCACTACTTCTGAAATTATGATATTCTTTATTGAATATAGGCCATTTTCAGAAGGGAATAATATAAGTAGATGAGTAGTTAAGTCTATTTATATGAAGAACCAACTTAATGATAACCAGACTCAATATACAGAGCAGGCTATGACACTCTTCACAACTATGAGAGTTGAGCATATGGTAAGCAAATCTATAGAAGAATCTTTCATTTTCTTGAATCCTATTTTATCATCAAACATCAAGGAAGCATTGCAAAAACAATTCACAAGACATTATATAATCCAGACTTATGCTATAACTAATGGCTAGCATGTCTAAATTTACCCTTATTTCCACATTCACAAACACTCAATTCATTTTTAAAACACATCTATCAATACAACTTTATACAATATAATAATTTTAATTATGCACTAAGATTAGCAATCAAATTTGATTATAGTAAATGCTATATACATCTACCACATGTGTCTCAACCCTTACCTGATTACTTCTTTTCATATCTATTAGATTATACCTATTATCCATCTATACCTATACCTTCTAAATTCTCTCTAATAAATAAGAATACATTAGATACTAACTTAATTATAAAGAATAATGAATTAGACAACACTTATCCTTAATTATTAGTAACTATCTTAGATGGCTATGATG